GTATTGAAGAAGGCTTGAAACTAGAGATTGAGATCATAAACTCATGTTTACAATGTTTACTGAGGTAATAAATCAAGAGAGAAGTAGAGTCATTCTCTCATAGACTTCTATACAACCAGGGGAGTCGCCCCCTGGTGGCCAGTAGAGAGAATGCAGCTTTAACACATGAAGCTTTGAACCTGAGGTTTTCTCCACTTCTGTTTACTTTCAGCCACTTAATGTGCAACATGTGTCCGTCTTATCTGCATGTATTATGTCCTCGCTCGTTAAACCAATTATGTTCGTGTCTTCCTCACTTTGTCTCGTCGTCGTGTCGACGGCTGGCGGAGGTTGCGGTGACCTTGTCTGTTTAGCCGGTTTCGTCTCGTTAGCTCGTTATCAGTCGGACGCAACGCGCTCTCTGAACCAACCAACTGTTAGACTGTCTGACAATGATACACCGTCCCACCGAGACTTACACACACACACACACACACACGTGTGTTAAGAAACCCTCGGCACTCTGGGTATTGTCCAAAGATCACAGGCGTAGGTGAGTTGTTCTTTTTAATTAATCATTTGTCCTTCAGACGTGGGGAGAGTTTCCGTAGATAATTAGGTCCCAGAGTCAGAGCCGGCAGCCACCTGCTGCCTTTGTAGCCCTAATCTTCGTCTTGTAGGAGCGCCGTCCCCGAAGACGCCACGGCAACGCTACGGCAACGCACGGACAACGAGCAGAATGAGAAAACACCTCTGAGAACATGCTCCTCCTCCTCCTCCTCTTCTTCTTCTGTTCATCACCTTTTCATTCCCTCTCCTCTTCTTCTTCTACTTCTTCTTCTTCTACTACTTTTTCTTGCATTCCTCTCTCCTTCTGCTTCTTCTTCTACTTCTTCTTCTTGCATTCCTTTCTTTCTTCTTCTCCTCTTCCTCCTCCAGTGTCTCTCCTCCCTTCATGTCATTCATGCAGAAATTGTTTAATTCTACAAGAACACACACACACACATATAGTGAGCATACAGCAAGGAGGCGTTGATGTGGAAGTGTGTGTGTGTGTGTGTGTGTGTGTGTGTGTGTGTGTGTGTGTGTG